CTCTCGTGTTTGCTAGATATAGGGTAGTCGGGTATATAAAAGAGGGGAATGTAATGTGTGTATAGACAGCGAGTAATTGAACTGCGGTCAGAGAGAGACGTATTGTTGAAGTTAACGTTCGTTCGTTATAGTGTTTGTTTTAGCGCGAATATTGAAATTAAGTGTATCGTAAAGTTATATTCGGAAAGTATAAACCAGTTTTATTAAGTAAAGACTTGTGTCGTTAAAGTTTCGTCGGGACAAAGTTACGGAAAAATCAATTAACAAACGAAGACGTAACAAAAGGTTTAAAGAACGCCCTTCTAAGAAATAGAATAAACTTATTTTTCTTCATCTAATCTAATGCGACATTTGTGTCAATAATTATTTACAAGTATGTGAAAATGGTTAAATATTATTCTCTAGCACAATTGTAACGAAAAATTGTTAATGATATATAAATGTTATATAAACCAACATTTCTTTTATTGGTGAGTCGGTGTTAGAAAATCAATCAGCCCCTATTTGGTTTCAATTAATATTCTATTAAACAGAAAAGTGAGATAACTCGTATAGTGAGAAACTGTGAAGGAATTGATTAATGTAAATGAGTTCAATTTCACCTTCAAATTTAAAGGACAGGCAAAACTTCAGGAGTAAGAGATATATAAAGTTGATCTCTGGCTGTTGCCGTTATCAATAGCTTTTCTGGAATGAATATCACACGTGTTAAAATTTTGGACTTTGGAATATACAGAGGTTGAGAAAGTCATATTAAAATGATTTTACAGCCACACCATGTCATTAAAATCCATGTCGCCCACTCCTGTCGTGCTCTATCAGACGACCATGCATTATGACAATAGCTTTGCAGCGACTTGACCAGTATGACTTTGAATGGAATAGCCTGAATACCCGTTTCATTGCTCAAATGCTTGAAGTGTGTACGACTGCAAAACAGATATGTCTTGGAATCAATTAATGTACACGTGACTTGTGTCGCTTTATCAGTTGGAGAAGCTTCTCGATTATTTTACGTACTTCTACCTGGGATACGTGGATGGCTTTTGTCATTGTCCTTTGTGCTCGTAGTTTCTCACATGTTGCTAGGCATAGCACTCTGTTTACCACGGCTAGGATACGACTTGTTGCAGATTTCTCTGTGGATGATACTGGTGCCCCAAGTTGATCCTCATTCTTTTGTTTGCCAATGCCATTGAATACAAGCCCCGTCTTGAGAATTCTAAATCTTCATTCTGAACACATCTATATAATATGAATGTAGGAATATTTTGCGTTGGAAACGACCGTTACTAACACTTCTCAAAAGCGATCAATTTTTCCGTGAAGTCACACTACCATCGTAATGCCGAACAATGAAGTTCTGATATATACTGTTCCACTGCGGCTTTATTTCGACTGCAGTTGTCACGCAACTTTTTTATTTGCATATTCAAAATTGTATTAATATAACGTACTCAGCCCTCTGTATTATAGCATAAAATCGTATATCGTATTATTTTATAATTGTGTTACAATATGTTATCAAAATAAATATGAATTGGTGAATACGGAACAGAAACTATACCGTTGTTAAAACAAAACTTTTATTTTTTTTTACTTATTGTATGTAAATAAATGCAAAACAATTCATTGACCATTCTCGTTTAGAAATGTCAGTGGCCAAACCTGAAATCAAAGTTGTTGTTTTTTTTGTTAGATATTGTTGCTTTCAAAATGCAAATGTTCTCAATGGGCTATCTGCATTCTGTGCACTGTGGGCTATTGAATGCTACATAAAGTAAATACCAAGAGTTGAATTATCCCTCTATTATTATAGACGAAGGAAATGACTGTATGCTACGGTAGTTCCCTGCTCAAGTCAAAGCATAATTACAACTACAGGAAAATGTTAATCAACCCTTCCTCCTCAGTTTATTGTTGTGCAAATCAACCATCTGATGATCAGATAGTGGTCTCTGTACAATCGTGTTTTATTTTCGTCACTTTGATGTGAACCATGGAGTTCAAAGTACTTCAGATCCTTCACAGCCTGTAGCTAGACCTCAGAGAAGACATTACTCCAGATCGTTCATTGCATGTGGCTAGACCTCAGAGAAGAACCATCAGGAAATGGAAGCCGGTCAATAACAGTGAATTGGCTTCAAGTGTCTCACAGTGTCGTTAGCAAAATGTGAGACTGCTTCTGAACCAATTTACGGTTGTTCATTTACGACACAAATAGACAACCCTTATCTTTCGATTCTGGTTTCTCTCAATCATAAGGTACATGCTCCGACGTTATATCAGACATTCGAAGCCACAGATGGACGTAGTGCCAGCGTACAGAAACATGCTTAACACAAGCTGGAGGCCCGGCATGGCCAGATGGTTAGGGCGCTCGATTCCCAATCTGAGGGTCGCGGGTTCGAATCCCCGCCACACCAAACATGCTCGCCCTTTCAGCCATGGGGGCGTTATAATGTGACGGTCAATCCCACTATTCGTTGGCAAAAGAGTAGCCCAAGAGTTGGCGGTGAGTAGTGATGACTAGCTGCCTTCCCTCTAGTCTTACACTGCTAAATTAGGGATTGCTAGCGCAAATAGCCCTCGCGTAGCTTTGCGAAATCCATAAACAAACCAACAATGAGAATCTCCCCCTCCAATGAGTCAGCAGTAAATTTATGGACTTACAACGCTGAACTCCGGACTTAGATTCTCCGCGGTGGACAGAGCACAGATAACACATTGTGTAACTTTGAACTAGGAAGACAAAAATAGCAACAGTATAAGAATAAATTTCTATATGACATGTATTGTATTATAATCCTATAAAGATTTGTTGATTAATTCTATATGTTTGCTCATGGCTGTAAGCTGATTTGTAAGTATGGTTTAAAAACGTCAGCGTTGTTAAACAGTGAAATACAATCATGAAATCAAGGTTTCTGTTAGCATTTTCCACCATCATGTAACGAAGGAATAAAATTGTCATAAGATGAATTAAAGGTTAGATATAAATAACTTGTCCTTATTTTGTGTGTCTTTCCTCGTGCAGTTCCACGTGAAGTAAGAGGTTAATACCACTATTTATATGATTAAAAATGTGTATCAATCTTGTGTTATGAAATACTTCCCAAAAACACGTGATGTTTAAATATACATGTTGTGAATTTTAGGTGTAAAATGTATATCTACATATGTGTGTTGAACATACACAACCACACACATATATATAATGTATTCTCTACCATAAGTGAATGAACTTAAAACAGTAGAGCTAATTTTAGTTTTCTTCTATTTTTTTCCATGTTTATCAGAATTGGAAGCGATAGAAGCTTGTAATTGGTTGAAAGCTGCAGGATTTCCACAGTATTCCCAACTCTACGAAGGTGAGTATTACATATAGTAATATATTTACTAATTAAAAACTTATCATTAATTAGATTGTGTTTCAAAACACATTTTGTTACAGCATTTATTAGAAAAGTGAAAATAAAAACTTTGCGAATATATTATTTCAGATTTATTAATGCGTTTTAAGAATAAAATTATCGTAGCCAGAATTATTTCAAAAATATGAGTAGAGGCAAGAAACGAAAAGTGTTTGACGATGTATTCTATGTAGTGCAAACATTCACTTCCTTGCAGCGTTTTCGTCACAGACACACATGAATACAGCTCGGAGGATGTAAAGCTTGAGAGCAGTGATTCTATAGCCTCTGACTTTAATGTATATTAGTGTCGTTTATGTTGATTTGAAAAATAAAGCACTTGACGTTGAAATTGTGATTTGACCTTAACCTCTATCCCAACAACACGTATAGACTTTCAAGCTATTTACAAGCAAGGAGTCTAGAGCGGACTAGTAATTAGCATTATGTAAATTGGATCCGAGGGTTCACTGTTCGCGTCCCGTTGTTGCAAAACCACGCTCAATACTTTGAAGGCGTGGGTGCGTTATAGATGTGGCGATCAAACCTCACTATTCTATTAAAGTAGCCCAAGAGTTATCGGTGGATCCTTTTGACTAGTTTCCTTTCATCTAGTCTGTCAGCTTGAAATTAGGAACGGGGACGACTAGCGCAGATTTTTCTTGTGTTGCTTTGTTCGAGTATTTGAAACAAGTAAACGAAATTTACTAAAAAATCCGTAGAAAGAATGAGCTGGCAGTTAACGGATCTCCATGATTAAGTTTTGAAGAGACATGCTATTACAAGAACCATAACTTGATCTTGAGAAATGATCATATCGTGTCCTCTAGTGTTTATTTGTAACATCGGAGTTTCGTTTTGAAGCCAGTATTTTTTTAAATGTAGTAACAGTTCTAAGAGTGCATTTGCAAAAATAAATAAATAATGATAATAAAATAAAAAATATGATAAAAAAGCCTCTCAGTGGCAAAGCGGTATGTCTGCGGACTTATACCGCTAGAAACCGGGTTTCGATACTCGTGGTGGGCAGAGCACAGATAGCCCATTGTGTAGCTTTGTGCTTAATTACAAAGAAAGTAAATAAACAATAAACATTAAAAGATATGAAACAATTGCTAAACTTATTAATTTTCAGAATGTCTACTCTTCAACGAAGTGAAGAAGCATATCAAACACGTAACATGGTAAGAATTGCTGGTAATGCTAAGTTGCGACCTGGTAACTAACAAATGTTACAAAAGTTATACTCATCATAAGACATTAATATTAGACCTACTACATTTTTAAACACTACATTCTTTACCTAGTCCCTTATGGAATATCGGGAAATAATAAAGTGTATAACAATAGTATTCCAACCACACTATCTTTAAACTCACTAAAAAAGAAACCTATCATTCTATAGTTATTTGAAGAACTTGTAGCAATCCGCCACAATTTAATTCTTCGTATTGTTA